TTGGTAAGCAGAAATTTCATCTATTTCTTTCTCTTTTTCATTTGTGCAAACTGAAAAATTGATACGATCATGCCCTTTGTACACATATTTGTATAAATATTTTACAGCTTTAATAGATGAACATACTTCAACATTAATATGGCAGTCAGATTTTGTACTTAAATAAGGATTATATGGTACAACCCATCGATTGTCTAATATATGACCTCTAACTCGAACAGAAATACCGATATCACGACGCTTATATAATGGGTATGAGTTTTGACCAAATATAGTAATATTACAAAAATATCTTGGGTATTTATTTTTAAACATTTATTTGCCTCCACGCATACATTTTTCGGATTCATATTTGCACAAGGATCATGCATATTATGTTTAACAATAACAGAATGAAGATGGGGATATTTATTTTTGTCAGGAATTTCACATGATACTATTCGATCAACTTCTTTAGCACAAGAGATTTTATATCCAGATTTAAATATTAACAACATATGTGCATGAGGAAGTCCTCTTTTCTGGAATTCAATCACATGTATATGCGCAATAATAGAGCCTAAAATACTTGCTTTGTGTAAGTCATGTTTCAATTCTTCCAATTTTGCTCTAAATATACGTACGATTAAATCAGGTCGATTTTGAATTTCATCATTGTTTTTTAGTTCGTGCCTAATCTCTGGACATTTTGGATTACACGTTATAGTCAAGAATATATCAGGTTTTCCATAACGTTGCACAATAGTCATTCCATCCATATATCTTCGTAGCATATCACAAGGCCCACAAGTAAAGGATTGTGGTAAAACAAATTTTCTTCCAACTTTGAATACTATCTACAATACCTTGATAAAGTTCAACACGAATTTATTTTTTATTATTTCGAAAATAGTCTAACCTAGCAGTTTCAATCTTAACATACATATCTACAACATACTATTGAAATAATCTTTCAGCGTGAAGCAACACAGATTTACCAAAAGGCCTTATTTGTAATTTATAGGAATAATATTCTCGACAAAATACCTGAGTACGTTTCTTCACTTGATTGAGCATTGTAAAATCCAAAGGAAAACCAAATTAAATACTCATTTATAAGACCAAATACTGGAAAAATATAAAACTCTACCAGATGATATATTTGCGAACCTTCATTCTCTTTTTCGATAAATTCAGTTGCAGTAGTTGTGTTGCGAATAACATCATATGTCGGCATATGTTGATGCTCGAAATATGTGATTCTATGTCTCTCAATGCCTTCATGCCAACCAGATTTCCCATATGGGAAGAGTAACGGATACTGCAACGGATCATAGCATCCATAATAATAGTGGACTTTATGTGAATCATTAGAATGGCTGTATATAGTGATATCACGAGCATAAAAGTTAGCATTTTCCTCATCTTCAACCCATGTAGTAGCTACTTGAGATGATGTGGATGTATTGAAAACTCTTTGATCAAGTCCTGGATCGCAACGTATTTGTATTTGATGATGATGCAAGTTACTTATATCACTAAAGACCTAAAAAATTTACCGTATGGATTTGTTTTCAAGATTTCAATTAAAACAATCAACGTAGATTCGACAAAGTTTGATGAAATTTTCATACGATTTTAAACTTCATTGTCTGTATTGTAAAAATATAATTGCATGCCATAAGTTCATTTACATAATGATGTACTTGTCCTTGAACTCTGAATGTGTAAATACCTTTATATGTTTTAAAGAGTTCTTTATCGTATTTCACACCAAATGAAGTGAAAGCAAAATGATTATTATATCCCCTTGCAATTTTTTCGAATTCCATACAATGAACTTCTTTAGATGTAAATAAGTTATACAATTCAGCTCGTGAGTCACATATAAGAAGCTTAACTTTTCCATTAGAACAACAGAAACATTTACTTTTCTCTATAAAACTTGCATGCCTTACAATGTTTACAGGGAGTAGAAGTTGGTAATACAAATGTCGTAGGTGGTATGTTCAGTCCCTTG